AACGTGCGTTTTATCTTTGACCGCCCCACAGTCGAATCTGTAGATGCTCGAATCAAGATGTTTAAACGCGGTATCCTGCTCAAAATCTTCCTATTGTGTCATATGGCACGATACTGCAGGGTGTGCAGCTTCGTCAGCCTGCTTTTTATGATTCCAGTTTTACAGGGTATTTACAGGTTATATTAAATAGCGACTAATATGCAACTTTCACCTTTTTCGATGGCTCGCCGTGTGGCCCATACCCTCTTCATCAAAGAGGCGACGGGTTCTTCTGAGATATTGGATGAAGCTATTCTTCTTTTGCAACGGACATTCCATCGTTTATGGTTTCATTTACGGTGGGAAAATGAACAAAAAGAGATTTGGTGGCGTCTCGCGGTTGATGGGGTGCCTATGTTAGGAAATTCCCATCTTAGGATGTCGCGCCCAACGATATGTGGTTGTGGAGGTTATCCAATAGGTTCAGTGGGAGGTGTATCCCCTCGCTATCATCATTTCTGGGCCTGTCCGGTGGCACAGGCAATAGCAGATCAACTTACTCTTTCAATAGGATTGCCAGTCTCAAGGGAGCAACTTTGGCTTATCCAAGCCCCACAATCAGTGCAACAATGTGTTTGGGATGTTGTGGCTCTTGCTGCGGTGTCAGCCATGGAGCATGGGAGACGTTATATGGCTGCAAACATGAAAACCAACCCGGCACTGTTATCTGGTCCTTCCCTTACGGAAGAAGCAATTTGTCGAGTTATTGTTGATTTTTGGGGCCGCATTCAGGGTTTCGCAGCTTTAGGAATTCCACGCTAAGGTTGGGATTCCGTTGGCGCACATCACCCCTTCTTGAGAATTATATCTGGCAAATTGCTATGTTCGCGAGAGCGGTTACCGATGAGAGGTTAATTATCTGAGATGATAATCTTTTGGTATATTAGTCTCTACTGCAGTGCACGGCCAGCTGGCCCGATGGCTCTACTCTTCGGGAGTCTGGAGCCCACTGTAACAACCACAACAAAAATTCTTAAGGCCTGGGATTAGCGCTGGGATTAAGGCCGTACAAAGGGCGATGCATACTTTCTATGTGATTCTGAAGCTAAAATTGTTAAGTTCTGAACTAGTTTGGGCATTAGGAATTGATTCAGTATTAGATATGAACAGGAAGCGCACTCTTCTCGCCGTTCATCTCTTCATCACCTTTTGAGCAACCCAAAACAGGAATTGCTTATTTGAGATCATATATATGGAACTACCTAGAAATTAACGTCAGACATGGCGCCGTGAATGCTAATCCAGATACGGAAAGTTACTACCTGGCTCGAGCCAGGTAATAACTTTTTTGTCACAGGTTGCCAGGTAAACACATGGGCATCAAGTTCAGTTTATGTTCTTTCCTAATCTCTTGCTAGCTCCCGCTAATCTTCTGATTAGAGAACACGGTGTCCTGAGGAATTTCTTAATCCCCGGCTAATCCTGCCTAATCCCGGTGGGATTTCCACTGCCGGGATTAGCGCAGGGATTAACGCTAATCCCTGGCCTTAATCCGCACTGGAAATACACCCTTAAAGTTCAAAAAATCTCACGCTTGGCTCAGCAAATCATGCAAGCGATAAGAAACTAGTTAAATACATTAATAGAAAGTAAAAGTTCTTTAAAAAAATCGCGTAAAGGGGCTCTGTACGCGAAAAGCCGTAGGGCCCAGTGGAAACGCCTCGGACACTAAGTCCGCATTAGTGGCACACTTGTTATCAGGGCCTCAGACCTGCAGATAACTTTCAAACTGGACATTAACTTCCAGCGGGAAAATTCATAATCAGCCATTTTCCTTCCTCAAGGTCCTTCGTTGATTTTTGTATTTTCCTTTATCCACAGCCGCAAATAGCCCGCTGACCAGTGGAATTCACAGCAGAACCGGTCGAATTGCCCACATTCCGGCAATTAGCCGACCAAACTGTAATGATTTGCGCATTAAATTATACCCACGCTTACTATAACAATGGTTTGGTGCCTTAATAGCAACCTGTCGTATGGTTCCGGGGCGCTTAGTGGAAACACCTGTAGACACCTGTCCACTAGCCACACACTATGTCCACGTTAAAGATAATGTCCAAAAGTTAGTGTGCGGCCTAGTGGAAATACCCTGTTACTTTAGTTCATCATGTGCCTGCTGTAGAATTGGATATTTTTGATGTGTGTTGTTGTTGTTGTTGTTACATGGTCGTGGGTGCGTTCCCCGTACCTGCAAACCACCTTAGTACGAGCCGAGGGCTCAAGGGCTGCCAAATCGCCTATAAGCACCATCCTACCTCGCACTTCCAACGAGACAAGTGACGAAGTATACTAACGACCAAAGGGAACGATAGAGTTGCGGTGAGACCATATGCATCCTTGCCAGGCATTCAGGTTCCCACTTCATAGCGTCCTTCATATGTTCGAAGCGTGGAAAGCCCATATCAGATCTGATTTCGTCGTACACCGGACAGTCCAGCAAAATGTGCTTCTCATCCTCGATATGGCTATCAGTGCCGCAGCAAGGGCATACTCGCTCCTCCCTAAGTATATAACACCGTCCCTTACACGTTCTGTTAGCCGCCAATGCCCAACAGCAAAGCCTAAACTGCATAAGCTTGCGGTTCGCTGAACGCGGGATAAACATTGTGATATGCGGAAGCACCTCCTTCCTGCCCGCTTGCTCGGCCGCCAGACCCATCCAATGCTTATACTTCGCCATGTGAATTCCTGGTTGCTTGCCGTCTGACGGGTACACGTCAGGCTGGACATCTAAACGCGTATGCTTCCAACCACTCACTAATTGGTCCTTGAACTCCAAAACCACACCTTCTGGCATTGGCCTGTTCATCAGCCACTCCACTCGTTCGTCTACCTCGTGTAGCCCTTGCGGGGCCTCTTTCCATACGTCGTGCCCCCAAAAACATAGAAAACGGAGGAGTAGTGTCCCCCATCCGGCCCCTTCGGGGTTGGAGAGGGATTCTGCGACCTCCTGTCGTAAAACGTGGTATGCCACAGACCCACGCTGTAAACGGACATGGTTCCAAAACCTCACAACCTGCTTGAGAACGTGGTAGTGTAGGGGTAGCTGCGATAGCTCTGTGAACAGGAGGCGGTGTGTTGGTCTGGCAGCTCCTACAAGTTGCCGCATGAAAGATATCTGAAGCTGCACTGCTCTGTCCTTTAGGCATGCCTCGAAGGGCCCCTCTGTAAGGTTATTCGCATCACTCCGCTTCCTGAGCCTGTCCGAGACCTCAGCTAGCATAAACGGCCCCCACGCCTGACAACTTGATGTGTGTGTGTGCTTGTTACATGGTTGGGGGTGCGTGACCCCATACCTGTAAGACTACCCATACGAGCCGAAGGCCCAAGGGCAATACCACAACGCCTAAAAGCCACGGAGGAAAGGAAAACACCGCACATCCGCCCAGACTAGCGTCCAAAGGGGGTAATTGAGTTTCGGTGAGCCCACATACATTTCAACATCCTCGACAGAAGAGGAGGGTAGGATCCGGGCTGGAATTAGGGAGGAGCTCTGTCGCAGAATTAGCCTGGATTTTATTCCTGACAAAAGAATTGGTCTGCCGAGGTCTGGAATTGTTCTGGCGGACTCGCCGGAGGTATTCGAATTGCGCTGTGGAGCCTCGGAATTGGGCTGTGCTGGGCCTGAATTGGCCTGTCCGGGTGTCGAATTGGCCTAACAGGGTGCCGAATTGGCCTAACAGGGTATTGAATTAGCCTGACAGGGTATCGAATTGGCCTGTTCGGGGTGTCAAATTGGCCTGACAGGGTATCGACTTAGCGTGTTCAGGGTGTCGAATTGGCTGTCAATTTGGCAGGATTGGCTCGGGCTGGCATCCAAAAGCACATGACTTTTAAGGAATTTACAGAAAACTTTGCAAGGGGACCGCTTACAAGTGCCTCATGTGCGTATTAGTTTCGATCCCACGACATGGCGTGGGAAAACTTGCACACCTGGTTACCGTACTCTGGCACTACTACTACTACTACCGGCGGCAAGCACTCAGGGCCACAATTGCAATACCCAGTCAAGTCAGTCGCTGAGGCCCCACTGTTTTCCTACCACACTTCATCGGCAGTTTGTCCAGTTTATCCCACAACACTCCTATGCATGAATAGGTTCGGGTGGAAACAATGACAAATCTCTGATACACCGCTAAACTCAGTACCACGAGCTACGTTGAAAACAAATGAAAATGCAGATGTCTGCCGAGAAGAATATGTTCGCCATATGCAATCTATGCCTTAATCCATCGAGCTCTCCGTTGGGTGGGGCATGGCCCATGAAGTCGCCCCCGGTATTCCGCCCATGCAACCAAACACTGACACAAAACGTTGCACGCCTGGGCCCATGTAAACCACGACACTTCCGTGTGGATTGGCTACCCGCGCTCCCCATGTCAGGGGTCCTCCCTCCTGCTGTTGACTCCCGGATTGCCCACGCACAAACGCCAAACGTTGGCGCAGAAAACAGACAGGCCATTGTAGTATGGCATCAAACCACGCATAATCCACAGCGGCTTTCAGCAGCAGTACTGCTTGGTGAATGCGACCGGCCGTGTACTGCCAGTCTTAGCACCGATGAACCACCCCCTGATGCAGCCGCTGATGCAGCAGGCATATGGGTCTACACCGCCGAGCTCTGACCAGTTTGTTTTGAACTCGCCTACACAGGGTTGTAAAACAAGGGGGGCATTTCTGTTATCATATGGTATGATGTTTCATAGACGTCGGTATGTATAACATTATGCAATTGGGTGGGGTGAGGTGAGGTGGGTTCCTCCTTTCTAGGTTGCCCACTCTTCCCTGCCACACATCTCATGTCGCCACTTACCAGTAGCACCACGCGACTTGACGCGGGGTGGCACATCCTCTGCTTCGGTGATGGCGGCTGGTGCATTCATCGGGACCACAGTTCCGCCGCGTCCTCGACGGTGCCAGTCTCCGCGTCCCTGTGTCCCTGATCCTCCACGGCCCCCTCCGATGCCGTTTTGATCTTGAACAAGAGGGATTTCGCGTCCGAGACGGTAAGGCCCGGTACATTCCCTCTCAGTGCCATGGCGGCGCGAAGCGGGGATAGCTGGAAATCCTCTGCAATGAAGGACACATTGTCTTTCAAAACACCGTTCGCAAAGTTTCCGGTTGTTCTCGGCACGGCACGGGGACATCGCCGCCCCACGTCTCTGGCACGGACTCGCGCTTTTCTCTCTGTGATCAATCTCTCACCTCGGAACAGTTCCCGTGCTTCACCAACGGAGTAGACGCCGAGATCTTCTTCGAATTGACGACGCACAGCATCCACCCGTTCATCGTCCCCGTCTAGCACATCGTGGAGACACGTCGCGAGAGCCGCGACATCAGACTATAGACGCAGCAGAGAATTAAATAAACCCCGAGTGAAGGCGAATGGCTGCAAGTGCACCATGGCGCATTTGCATGGTTGGAAGCCACAACGCAAGAAAAGACATACCGCGTCATTTGGACTTCGTGTCAGCTGGTCTCGAGGGTCTCCATCTTCCGCAGTGTCCTCCAGGGCGACATCTATAGCGGCCATTTACTCGCCACTCCTACCCGAAAGTAACCTATCTTCTATGTAATCAACGCTAAACGCTGAAGTTGGGTAGGAATGTAATACTATTGTAAGATTATCGACTGTGACATGCTTGCAACCCATACTTACATGCGCACCAAACTCTTGTTGTACGGAAGCGTGGTGTATGCATTAATGCATGACAGTGCGCGGCGCTGGAAGTGCTTTTGGTATACTTATACATCTCTATGCCGTTGTTGTGCAATATCTAAGGCGTGTTCCTTTTAAAAAGCTGAAGGTATTTAGACAGTAGGGAAGCATTTCTAAAAATCTCGGTAAACCATTGTAATAAGTATGCCAGTTTATATTATCACCATAGGTTCTTGTGTCGAACGGTGCTAAATGAACCATGGTGCATGCATGGAAGTATTCGGGGCGGAGAAGTCTCAGGCCTCTGCTATGGAAGTCCTGGAGAAACGTCAGCTTGATTGCAGAGTCTGTGGACGCCAGCACACGATTAACTCGTGTTGCTGTGGCCACCCAGCGCCATGCACGGTCCTGTACCCACAATTTTGTGTTCAGGCGCTTTGTGGCTTCGATGGATCTAGCTGTGGAGTTAAGTATGCGTCCTTCGCAGCCGTCGCACCGGCAGTGTTGGATACGGATGCCGGTATGCCATGTTTTCAGACCTGTTGTCGCAGCGCGGGCTTCGAAGCACGGCGCCGTTGCCCGGTCCGTTACCCATGCCGGGCGCCCGTCCAGCGCGCCCCGCCTTCCTGCAACAACTAGCCGAGCGTCGGCGCCGTGTTATCGGTGGGATGTCGTGCCCTGGACTGCGCGACGAATGTTACGCCTGCCTATACGGCTGTTCCCAGGCGGGTGTGTTGGGGCCGCGGGACATTGAGGCCGCCATCATGGACACGGGCGGCGATGCAGGGCGCGCGCTAGCCTGGTACCCCGGGTTGTTGATGGCATGGCGGTTTGATAAGGTCAGTGCATGTGGGTCGGGCAAAGGCAAGGCTAGCGTGTTGGTCTGCCTGACAAATGTTAACCCACATGGGAATCCTGACATGGCGCCACAGGCGGATACATTCTTCCGGGAGAATCAGCTTCCAGCATACTACGGCGAAATCGACTCCATCCGGTCCGTTGTCTGCAGTTTCTCCTCCGCAGCTGTACGGCCGTGTGCCGCGTGTCTGGCCCTCAACAGAAATCACCAATTGAAGCGTTCAGCCGACGCTGCTTCACTGCGAGTCGCTGCGACACAGCGAGTCGCGACAGACCCAAGTGTCATGTCCCCTCCGTCG